CATTTTACCTTTTTTTCTTTTTCTTTCCCTGTGGAGTGACACAAGACAATGGAAAGTTGTATTCCTGGAAACACCTGTCAAAAAATAAAAGTTCTTCATTACAGAAATATGTTCATGATTTAGGAAAATGCAGCTGGCTCATTTTATCCAAAAGAGGTACAAAGAATTCTTTTAAACTATTTAGTTTAATTTTTTTCAGAAAGGTGTTAGAACATTATTTTGTGTTAAAAACACAGAAGGTTTGCATGTTTACATTACAGTTTGTGTTGTGAATGACACATTGGTGTTTGCTTCATGTATTTACATTACAGTTTGTGTTGTGAGTGACTTACATTGGTGATAATCTGGTTCCCGACCACCAGGTGAGGGACGGAGGATTTAGACTGAACAGCCTCTCTGGCAAGCTTTACAGGAAGAAAAAAATATACATCAACTTAATGTTAAAGATATATTTAAAATATTTTCAATTCAATTTTCCCCTGAACAATAATGAAATACAATGTACCTTATTTACAGGTTACTCAAAATAATCATAAAATTTTTAACAGACACCTTCATGTTTACAAATATTTTACCTGTGCAAAGATCTCCTTACAGAATAGAACATTTTGTGCTTTCTCTAGTTTCTGCTGCCAGTAAGTTTCACTTCGTACTGGACCGATTCCTGATGGTATCTTAAGTATAGCACCTGTCAGATCCATAGTGTCTAGAGAAAACAAATAAATATGAATAAACAGATATTAAACTGGCTGCCTCTGTATTAATTAGGAAGCAACTCATGTTGTGTTACTGTCTTAGGGAATGATACAAATAATGCTTGGAAATGAAAATAACCAGAAGGTGATTACCAGAATGCACAATAAATATTGCATGCATCAAGATGTGTTCATTTATTTCTGTTAGATACTACAATTTTTGTTACCTGTATAACAGGTGTGTAGTTACCTGGGACAGATTTCACCTCCACCTGTATGTATGCTGCCCCCTCTAGCTCTGTGGGGACCACTACATCCAGACTCCCCCGCTGGGCCAGAAACTCCCCCTCAGCATTCAGATCCGAGCTCTTCACCACCTCAAACACTCCGTTATGTAGGTAACGGGATCCAACTGTATTAGAAATTATGAACCCACTCAAAAACAATGTTTACCTTAATGCAGTTCACTTACATGTACAGAGGCTTCCTAAGTGCAATTAGTAGACCTCAATTATATCTTCATTTCATTTCAATGTATAAATGATTGGAAAAGTTCTAAAGGAATTTTTCCAGGTAATTTAGTGTACAGATATTGAAATTTTAATTGACACTCCTTTAATGTGAAGGTATACCAGATCTGTAGCTGAGATCTCCTAGTATGGAGGTCCCCGTCTTTTTAAGTCTCCAACTCTGTCGAACATTTAAAAGTTCCAGATGGAAGTCGTTTTTGCTGTTGATTTCAGCTTGTGATTTCCGTAACCTTTCTGCACCAGACTGGAGAACAGAGGCTGCTGACTGTAGGGCCTAAAAATCAAGTCATTTGTAGAAACCTCCACAGGAAAGTTCCCACTATACTCAATACACAGGTTGATATTTCATACTTAATAATAAAGGTAAGTCTTTTACTCTGAGTTCAAGGTGATGAATAGAAAATTATATTTCTCTCAAACACTTAATTCATGAACCAGGTAAGAACTCTGACACCCACTTTCTCTCTGACATAAGCTGTAATGATAACTTTAATACCCTTCTTTTTGACATAAGCTGTATTTATAGCTTACCTTTCTTTTTGACATAAGCTGTATTGATAACTTACCCGTCTCTTTGACATGAGCTGTATTGCTAGCTTTGGATCAGGAGCATTCTGTTGTACTGGATCTAGTACCATGTATCGCTTCTCTTTACTGGACGCTATATTTAGTATATCAAGGAGCACACTCATCTCTGTATGTGATGCTCTGAAAGTTTTAAAAAATGTGTATCTAATTCAATGTAATTAACCCTCAAATTTTCAAAATTAAGTCACATATCATAGAAATAATGAAACAAAATTAAGATTTTGTCACATGACAATCCCTCCTATCTGAGTTTACTTCTCACTGAGCACTGCTCTCTCATCTGAGTTTAGTTCTTACTGAGCCTTGCCTTTCCACTTGAGTTTAGTCCAAAGTTAACCTTGCCCTCTCACCTGAGTTTAGTTCTGATTGAGCCCTGCTCTCTCTCACCTGAGTTTAGTTCTGATTGAGCCCTGCTCTCTCTCACATGAGTTTAGTTCCAAACTTAACCTTGCTCTCTCACCTGAGTTTAGTTCGGACCGAGTCCCACGGCCAGAGTGAAGGTTGGAAGGCTGCCACTGTCTTTTCTTCCTCCTCTTTTTCACCTTCAGATGTTGGCTTGCCTTTTTCATCACTTTCATCTTTGTAAAAATCGATTTTCTGTGCCAATTTTGTAAGATTCTCTGACATAGACAGTGGTCTGTCAAGGAAAAATTCATTTACAAACTATTTTGTGATAGAATTCAAAGCGAAAGTGGATTACTGTATGAAACCAATTAACTTTATATGCGTGCAAGAAATATTTGCTAGCTTTGACATCTACTTTAACTCATGAATATCAATATTATTGAAATTGTTACGCAATTTACATACCATGTCATATGCCGAATCCCCATATGACACACTGGCAGCAGTCTATATGCATGTACGAAATGTCTTGTGCGAAAATCAAGAAAATTTACATCAATTTCAAAGCAAATCTGTGCCACTTTCAAAATAACTTTTTTCAGTTTTTACGTTATTAATTAATGGTGTAAACAATAAAATGTTTTTTTATAGTTTAAAAGTACCACATAAAAAATTCCATCTTCATCTTAATCATTTTGTATCATACAAAGGAAAAAACTGTGCTTCATCAAGTAAATAATTCCTCAACGGGTTTATCCATTGCCATCATGCGGTAGCCATTTGGGAAGTTTAGCGATTTCGCTACTGTTTACAGGTAAACAGAACCGTTTTTAAAATACGTAAAATTTTTCAAGATCACATTTTCTGTAGTTTATATAAATTATTAATAGATTGAAAATTGAAATAGTATTAATTTTTTTATTGTGACAAACCTTATATTTTTCATGTGTAAAAAGCGGAAATAAATTGTTGCTCTGTTATAAATTTAATTACCAAAAAACACCGATGTTTTACTATATCTATTTTTTTTTATTTTATTTAATTAAACAACAAAATGAATAATATTTTTATACAAAGATTGGCTTCTAAAACCTTTATTTACATAAAAGGATTTACACTGTGTGTACGCCAAAGGTTTTAACACCTGTGTTGGTTTTTTACCCTCGTGTATAAATCCACGTGCCGTTGTCACATTATGTTCACATCATTGAACAAACAAAGCCATGAAATTCATAATGACTGTCAAATTGTGAATGTACCGGTACTCTCCCCCCTTAAATATATAATTTAACTTATATTTATTATTTCAATTCTTTTTGTTGCTTTATATATACATTCAATGGTCGTTTGCGGGGTTTAGCAAATCCTACACAATGACAAAAACGTGTAAATGGCGGACATTTTAAGCAATTTGTCCACGGTAAATAATGTTATAAAATGTATAACAATGTGTCCATGTTGTTCTGAAATCATAATTATGCTAATTGCTTTTATTTAGAAGGATTTACAATATAGCATAATTAATTTTTTTTTTATGCCTTGGTTTAACAACATATGAAACTTTCATTGTATCAGGCAGGTGATAAGGAACACAATTCAATTATTTTACCAAATTTTTTTAAAAACTTTATTTAAATGCTTTTATTAAAAAGTGATTATCTTCATTAACAGGTTTAAAAGGATATACCCCGGTACTTTAAAAGTTTATTTTGATACGTTGGAATCTATAAAATTAAATTGTTCAAAGCCTCGTCCTATATAGTAATTTCACTATTATTTCTTTTTCAAAAATTAAGAAATATCCTTTCCCTATATACCCCATCGACCTATGACCCGAAAATTACGGTATTGAAATTGTATCGATAATTAATAAGCAATGCATAGCCCTTATGACACACTGCCAAATATGTACGAAATGTTTGTGCGATTTGAAAGACAAAATATGTCTGTATATGAAACTTAAATTGCCACCAACATATATATCAGGTATATATATATACTGTTAAAAAATATATTTCACCACATTGTTGTTTTAATCTATTACTTTAATATTATGTTTATATGTTTTATATATTTATATGTTTATGCTAATTTACCGCTTTTTGGCAGGTAATACTGCTGATTCATATTAAATATTCTATATAAAAACTTTTTATGCAGTAATGAATTTATATAAAATCAACAAATTAAGTTTTTATCGTTATTACTTAGTGGTGTCACATATGCAAAATGTTTTTGAATGTAACAGTTTAAAAGTGCCACATAAAAATATCATCTTCATCTTAAACATCATTTTGTATCATACAAAGAGGCTTTTCATTCCTCTGCATTACACTTACGGTACATATATTTCCTGTATTTCATGACCATCTGGTGCCTCTGGCTTTTCTACTGCCCTGACTTCTTGAATCTGGCTTTCTAGGACAGCTTCTACACTGACATTTACCGCTGGAGTCGGACTGGGAGAAAATTGTGAGTAGGGAGCCGCCATCTTTGCAAATTTTAATATTGATGTTATTTTCGAATTTTAATGACATTATGAAAAACTATATCTTTCATATTAAAATGATGTTTCATAAATTTCATCAATGGAATATTTGTACATTAAGCAAACTACACTGCATTTAGTATTCGAAAAAAATTCTTGATAATTCGAAACTAAATGTGTTTTATTTTATCTCAAAATGCTCTAAAATAATATTTTATCATCTTTTATAAGAAAATCGGCTTTTATCACACAATCGGATTAAAGATAGTCAAGTCTATGAATTCAAAAAAGATTAAAAAATAAAACCTTTATATCATATTCCGGATTGCCGTATCATTACCGAGTTTACTTTTAGATACATTTCTATCGGATTATTTTCATTCCGATCTGAGTTTTCCCTAAAAACTTACAATTTTTGGTATGATTTGAGCAGATTTGTTGATAACATAAGATAATGTGATACATCATATACCAAGTTAATGTAAACAAGTATGTATTATTTGAAAATTTTCTAAAACAAACCAAGAAAGGCAAAGTAATTGTAAGTGTTGGTATCTAATGAAAACAAATGTTTTGAAATAGGCCTATGCATTTTTTTTTATTCGAAACGTTTTCTTCAACTTCAGAAATTCCTTGACAGGAGTCAACATTATATGTTTATTTTTGTTTTTCTCATTTCAGATGTAAATATGGAATTAAAATATTACACTGGTTCCAGCATTACTTGACCAAAATCAGAAACAACATGGGGACTGGGATCCCACTTTTGAATGAGTACAAGCAGGAATTCTTTGCTAAGAGATTTCCCCAAACGATTCTTGGTGGTCCCAAACTCCGCCTCGGCTACGATGCTCCTATTTATGTTTATATTAATCAGCTTCTCCTGTTCCTCATTCCATTTGTTTTGGGAGGCACGGTCACGCTACTTGTGGAATTGGATGCCATCACCGATGTCACTGGTGTTATTCTGTATGGATGTCTCATGCTGGCTGTTGTCATTGTTACTCACATCATCACCACTGTGGTACAGGTTAAGTGTTCGTCAGATCTCCCTTACCCCACCAAAAAGAATCTCCTGGCTGAGGAAGATGAAATCGATTTCATGTCATGTTGCGGAGTGGAGACATTGGAGTTTGTCGTACCTAGGAAAAAATTTATAGCAAACATTGCCATTCATTCTGTGATATCTGGATGTATGTGTGGACTTGCCTTGTGGTATCTCTTGCCCGCTACCTTGAATGGATTGTTCAGTAACAATACGGGGGCCACAGTGATTCTGTTTATTTTTGGCTGGTTTACTGTGCTGGTGGCCCAGTACCCGCTCACGGTAGCAGCACCACCAGAACCTGCCACATATAGAACAATGGACACCTGGGAAATATCTCCTCTGACTAGGCCATTTTATGTCCTTGTATTCTCAGCATTTGATCTTTTGTACAGGTAAATTTAAATTACAGAATTAACTAAGACAAAATAAATACACAGTGTCAACAACAAGGTTACAGACATAGTTAAAATTCTGTGTCAGTTATTATCAATGTTGTGTTGATATCTGTTACAGATATGCGAGTCAGGGCACCTTTATGACCACGAATCAGGCCCTGCATATTTTATTTGTGTTCCTCCCTGTGCTGTGGACCTGTGGGTTCCTCCCCCCGGTGGACTGTTTCTTCCTGTGGCTGGCAGAACAGGTCCACGTTCATCTCTTTGGGGGCTCCCCTATGGCTTCAGAAATCAGGTACAATTGAATGCTTTACTGCTGATCAATTTTCTGACCATGTGTAATATTTATTAAAATGGTTTCATTTATATATATATACAAATACAAGCTATGCTCGAACATGTTTAACATTACTACATTGATAAATTCATGTGAAATAAGCATGATAAATTCATGTATATCAAACATGTCAAAAGGTTTTATAGCTATTAACTTATTTTAAAAGTAGAATTTGAGAGTCATTGATATTTAATCAGATTTTTTGTAACATTAAAGTTATCATGATAATGAGGCATCTTTTGTGTGCGGGATGCTCAACTTTGCAGTGTTCTTAAATTTGATACACTGGCTGTATATCATTGTATTATTTTGACCTTTTACAGACTGGTGGTGCTATTGACCCTGTCAGTGGGGGTGTACCTGGGAGCCTATTTCTTTGAAATTAATTTATGTCTGGAGACAGTTCTCCTGGCTGCCCTTTCATGTGGATTATTTCAGTACATACCCAGGGGGCTGGAAAATATTGCACTAGAAATTCCATCAGGAATAGGAACAAGGTGTCAGATGACCAGGGGGTTATCGCCATGGATACAGGGGTCAGAGGGTTTCTGTGGCGTTGGGGTGTGTTTGAATTTCTGTACCATGCACTAATGCTGGCGTTAGTTGGGGTCACAGCGGGATTGTTAAATTATAATTCACATAACATTCATGTTGTTGATATCATAGTACAATTCTTTGTGTGGTGGAAAAAATCGATTGAAAATGTGCAATGAATGTTTACATTTTCTTCGGGTTGCTGAGAAATCGACTGTTTCCGAAAGCTGCCCGTGTAGGTCGACCGTTCCATGACAGAAGGAGGAAGATGAAAGTTCTGGGGATCTCTCGCAGGATTATACTGAACTGGGGTATATATCACCACTACAATCACATCCAGGGCCGTAACATATAAAATTACATTGATAAATTCTTGTGAAATAAGCATGATAAATATATCAAAAGATTATAAACCTAAGAATTTATTTTAAATTTAGAATTTAACAGACATTAATATTTAATCAGAATTTTTGTACCATCTCCTTGATTTTGATAATGCTTACCACTTTTGTGTGTTACCTATTTATGTACTGTTTTGATACACTGGCAATATCATTGTATGCTTCAATTGAATTTTAACTTCTGAATGTAAATATAAACAATGTCAAGGGGTGTACCTGGGGGCTGACTTTTCCCAAGAAAAAGATAAAATTATTTAAGTCAATAGAGGTGTGTGGATACCTCCTCAGTACGGACCTTCTGAATAGTTTTCACTGTACTAAATGCAAAGTGGCAGATGATCAATCGCCGTAGTTCGAATTTCGCATGGGACATGGGGTTTCTGGTCCTTGGGGTGTGTTTGAATTTCTGTTACCACCTAATGCCCCGTGTCACAGCTGTGGCACGATAAAGATCCCTCTGCTCAAAGGCCCTGAACGCCGAACATAGGTAATGGTGACACTCAATGGATAGCTGAAAAATTGCTCAGGTGGCTATAATCAAACAAATAAATGATCAATCTTGATCCAGCTGCTTGTGTTGTGTTTCTTATTTCAAAAAAAAAAAAAAATGAAAATCTAGAGGAGGCAATTGCCTCCGTTGCCTCAATGGTAGTTACGGCCCTGACATCATGTATTCCCTAAGTCTAAAAGACTATATATGTACCAACAACTGGGGTGAGACTTCAGAGATTTACAGATCATGTTATGTGTTCTGACCACCAACACTTTCTTCAGATACAAATTAGGGCCAACGAGTAATTCAATTTTAAAGAAAGAAATGTATATTATGTATATATTGAGCATTTCAGTGTCAAATAATTTTCCTTTTAATTATCATATTTTTTTAAAAATCAGCTTGTTGCATTTATTAGTATATCCTATCACTAGTTTATATTACGTAACGTTTCTATCTTTACAGTGGCGCCCTTGACCCTGCTGGCATATGCATCCTTACTAGTGACCAGCAGTGACCCCTCCTCTGTATCGGTCACTAACAACCTCAGCACGGTCACCTCCGTCTGGTTTATCTTTGGTGTGGTGCGGATCTTTAGAGCTGTAAGTTATCTAGCCATCACATTAAGTTCCAATTAGATTTTGAGAAATGCAGCAGTTCTCTTGTTTCCTAAACTTACTAATAAGATTATATTCAAAAGGAAAAATAGCTTTGTTTTGGGACCATGCTCTAATTTATAACATGCAGATACACTGTCTGTAGTGTACAAATATTCATTTACAATTGAATTTGAATTTACATGTATCAATAAAAATTGAATGTTTACATTGATCATGTTGATTTTGTAACAATATTTTTGTGCATTTGTATCTAAATTTTATCACATGTATGGATATTTGTTAGATCTGTGTAATATTTATCATGAATTGTTGATGTGTTTGTTATAGATTTGGCAGAATACAGCCAACAGTCTGCTGGAGATCTCAATCACACACATTATCCTGGTTACCATGACGTCAACCTCTGACCTCATACTCTTCCCAATTCTCTCGCTCCTGATTGGTCTATGCCGGGACAGAGCCACCCAGTTCCTGAACAAGCTGTACTTCTGTATGACGATCCTGATCACCTCATGGACAGACAAGAAACAGAGGAGAGGATCCACGGTGGCCCTGATTGGTGTCTCAGTGTTCCTGTTTCCCCTGGTCCTCAGTATGATCACCCTGGCCTCTGCCCTGTCAGCCCCCCTTCTTCCTCTGTTTACCCTGCCACTGTTTGTGATGGGGTTTCCCCGCCCCAATAAGTTCTGGCCAGAGGATGTGGGGGCCTCGGCTAATGTGAATCCCGACACCATGTTCTACAAACAGCTCACTCCAGTGTTGAGTGGGGCACTCAGAACAGCGTTTGCAGATGGAAGATTGGGTGAGGAGAAATTTATTGCAGCTGTAGAAATTTGCTGTTGATCTACATGTATGTTTCTTGTTGTGGCCTTATTTAAATTACTTGAGCAGATCCATACTAACATAATATATAAATGTCATATCTTAAAATGTACCAAATTGGAATAAATGATCCATCTAAAGAAAAAACTATATGTACATATAACTGCCTTGCTCATGACACCAAAAGTGCATTATTATAGTTGTTTAATGAAAGGCCTAAATTGTTAGCTAAATATAACTAAATGAATGATTCTCCTGTACACTCACTTTTATGCCCTGTAGTTAAAAAGATGTAAAATTCCTCAAAATGACATTCAGAATGAGGCAGAACTAAGAAAGGAGAGAAAGTTTTGAATTCTTTTGTTTTTTACTTGTGTGAATTACCCCTAATTACAGGTGAGGCGTGTGTTGGGAACCACTACTTGGTGAGGTACCAGGATCGACTGGTGTGGATCATGATTCTGGAGAGAGGAGCGGGCTACTGTACCATCAGTATTAAGGGTCTCGAGCTTCAGGAGACGTCGTGTCACACGGCAGAAGCAGCCCGATTGGATGACATTTTCGAGGAGGCGTTCCCGGAGGACTTTGGCTGTTTTCCCGTCAATCAGTATCCACTACATACTCTGACGCTGGTGGACGTCGAGCCGATCAAGACGTACTCAGATGCTCGGAACGTGCTGACCGGAATCATAGACCAGCCAGGAAGTTTTGACATCACCATGTCATCTTTTATAAAGAGCCTTGTGTGGGTTTTGCTGCAACATGTGAATAAACTGAAAATTAAAGAAAAAGAGAAAAATAAGGACAATGTGAGGAAAGGAACAGGAAGTGAAAATAATAACAATGTGTCAGGGAGAATCTCAAAAGCTTCTATTCATCACAAGGACAGAGCTGTGATAGCAATGGAGACTTATGCTGGGAGGCCATCTTCCTCTCAGCAGAACAAAATGAACACCTCCTGGGGATCTCTTGGAAGTTTCACCGACAGTATTTTCTCTGAGGATGAGTTTACAGACAGAAAGAAAACAAACATAAAGAAACAGGAACTAAAGAAATCCATTTCTCCAGCCTTCGGGGCACCTGCTAAACCTATCAGCAACAAGTTTGATGATGATATTGAGGATCTAATGAATGACTTTGAACTCGGGCTTCCAGCCTTAGATAAAAATAAAAAGACATTAGGGACTATCTCAAAGTTTGAAAGTAAAAAGACAAGTAATGGGATATTTAAACCAGTGACAAATTTAGCTGGTTCCCCTGATTTTAAGTGTTCTCACTCGGTGCATGTGAGTCTGCCCCAGAAGTGGCGAGAGCTGCCCTTGGAATCCTCACAGGTAGCTAGATATCTGTCAAAGTTTCCCAAGGATTGGTTCAAGTATGTCCTGGGTACGCTAGACTGGTCAGGTGTAGAAGGACCTGTTGACCAGGTCAAAGATCAGATAGCCAGGGACGATGTGCTGATTAACTGCTACTCTCAGCTTGTCATGGCCTGCTACTCCATATTTGACACCAACTGTGAGTTTTGATTTGAAATTATTTCTTTAATATTATTTATTTTCTATCTATATATTGAAGTTTAACTGCAATATTCCAGTGAATGATTTTTTTAACATTGGTTTGTTTTGTAGCATCCATTGGTGGTGCCAACACTTTATATAAATTCTACATCGGGGATCTGCCGTGGAATGCAATGTTAGACTGGTTGTCTGAAGACAAGGAGCTTTATAAATTAGTCCTCAAAGCTTACAGGTAATATAAGGATGTGTCATACATTAGTGTTCTATGGGTAATTAACCACATTCTACAGTAACAGCTTACAGGTTATCTAGTCTAACAGTTTTAACATAATTTATCAGGATACTTTAGATCATGATCACAGCCTTTGTCAAAATTATTGGAAACTTCTCATGACAACCTAAGGAAGTCAATTTAAAACAGCATATTTTCATATATAAACAAGAGTTTCACCCCTACATCTCTACAGGTATGGGTTTAAGATGATGCTGGATCAGACCCTGATGGGGGAAGCCACCACCCCTGGGGAGTTTGAGGAATACCTGACCGAGTTTGACAGGGACTGGTACATCGGACTGGAGAAGGAGGAGGAGTGGAAGTCCTCGGTCCTCAACTCAGTCCCCAACCTGTTCTCCCTGGGTCATAACAAGGCACAGGTAATAATAAAATAGTCCCTGGGTCACATCAAGGCACAGGTAATAATAAAATAGTCCCTGGATCACAACAAGGCACAGGTAATAATAAAATAGTCCCTGGGTCACAATAAGGCACAGGTAATTATAAAATAGTCCATTGGTCACAACTAGGCACAGGTAATTATAAAATAGTCCCTGGGTCATCACAAGGCACAGGTAATAATAAAATAGTCCCCAAGTCATAACAAGGCATTGGTAATAATAAAATAGTCCGTGGGTCATAACAAGGCACCGGTAATAATAAAATAGTCCGTTGGTCAAAACAAGGCACCGGTAATAATAAAATAGTCCTTGGGTCATAACAAGGCACAGGTAACAATAAAATAATCCCTGGGTCACAACAAGGCACAGGTAATAATAAATAATCCCCGGGTCACAACAAGGCACCGGTAATAATAAAAAATCCCTGGGTCATAACAAGGCACCCGTAATAATAAAATAGTCCCTGGGTCACAACAAGGCACAGGTAATAATAAAATAATCCCTGGGTCACAACAAGGCACAGGTAATAATAAAATAGTCCCTGGGTCATAACAAGGCACCAGTAATACTAATAAAATAGTCCCTGGGTCATAACAAGGCACCAATAATAATAATAATAAAATAGTCCCTGGGTCACAACAAGGCACAGATAATCATAAAATAGTCCCTTAGTCCGTGGGTCACAACAAGGCACAGGTAACAATCAAATAATCCCTGTGTCACAACAATGCACTGGTAATAATAAAATAATCCCTTGGTCATAACAAGACATAGGTTATAATGAATTAGTCCCTTGTTCATAACAAGGAATCAATAACAATAAAATAGTCCCTGGGTCATAACAAGGCACAGGTAACAATAAAATAATCCCTGGGTCACAACAAGGCACAGATAATCATAAAATAGTCCCTTAGTCCGTGGGTCACAACAAGGCACAGGTAATCATAAAACAGTCCCTTATGCCCTGGTCACAACAAGGCACAGATAATCATAAAATAGTCCCTTAGTCCCAGGGTCACAACCAGGCACAGGTAATAATAAAATAGTCCCTGGGTCACATCAAGGCACAGGTAATAATAAAATAGTCCCTGGGTCACAACAAGGCACAGGTAATCATAAAATAGTCCCTTAGTACCTGGGTCACAACAAGGCACAGGTAATCATAAAATAGTCCCTGGGTCACAACAAGGCATAGGTAATCATTTAATAGTCCCTGGGTCACATCAAGGCACAGGTAATCATAAAATAGTCTCTTGGTCACAACAAGGCACAGGTAATTATAAAATAATCCCTGGGTCACAACAAGGCACGGGTAATCATAAAATAGTCCCTGGGTCACATCAATGCACAGGTAATAATAAAATAGTTCCTGGGTCACATCAAGGCACAGGTAATCATAAAATAGTCCCTTGGTCATAACAAGGCACCAATAATAATAAAATAGTCCCTGGATCACAACAAGGCAAAGGTAACAATAAAATAATCCCTGGGTCACAACAAGGCACAGGTAATCATAAAATAATCCCTTAGTCCTTGGGTCACAACAAGGCACAGGTAATCATAGAATAGTCCCTTATGCCCTGGGTCACACCAAGGCACAGGTAATCATAAAGTAGTCCCTGGGTCACAACAAGGCACAGGTAATCATAAAATAGTCCCTTAGTCCCAGGGTCACAACCAGGCACAGGTAATAATAAAATAGTCCCTGGGTCACATCAAGGCACATGTAATAATAAAATAGTCCCTGGGTCACAACAAGGCACAGGTAATAATAAAATAGTCCCTTAGTACCTGGGTCACAACAAGGCACAGGTAATCATAAAATAGTCCCTGGGTCACATCAAGGCACAGGTAATAATAAAATAGTCTCTTGGTCACAACAAGGCACAGGTAATTATAAAATAATCCCTGGGTCACAACAAGGCACAGGTAATCATAAAATAGTCCCTGTGTCACATCAATGCACAGGTAATAATAAAATAGTTCCTGGGTCACATCAAGGCACAGGTAATCATAAAATAGTCCCTTGGTCATAACAAGGCACCAATAATAATAAAATAGTCCCTGGATCACAACAAGGCACAAGTAATAAGTAAATAACACAAATAACAACCTGTTCTCCCTGGGTCATGACAAGGCACAGGTAATCATAAAATAGTCCCTGGGTCAGAACAAGGCACCAATAATAATAATATAGTCCCTGGGTCATAACAAGGCACCAATAATAATAAAATAGTCCCTGGATCACAACAAGGCACAGGTAATAAGTAAATAACACAAATAACAACCTGTTCTCCCTGGGTCACAACAAGGCACATGTAATAATTAACACAGGTAATAACAAAAAGTCCTAGGGTCATAACAAGGCACAGGTAATAATAAAATAGTGCCAGGGTCACAAAAAGGCACATGTAACAGTAAATAATCCATGGGTCATAAAACACAGGTAACAATAAAATAATCCCTGGGTCATTTCAAGGCACAGGTAATGATAAAATAATCCTTGGGTCATAACACGGCACAGGAAATAATAAGGTAATCCCTGGGTCATAAATAGGTAAGGTAAGAATAAAATAACAGTTTTGTCATTATGTCAAAATCAGAACAAAAATTTGTTAGTGAACAAAATCAAAATGTTGTGAGATATCTCATACATTTCTATGATTTAAATATTGATAATGAATGGAATACCCTGTAGATGCATTTCATTGTATATAAAACTAGTTTACCTGTACTAAGGATATTGATTTTTACAGGGGACCTATAGCAGCCGGCTGCTGACTCTACAGGAGGAAATGGTGTACATTGGTCGTCTGAACAGTGAGGCTGTGAAAGGACAGTGGGCTAACCTCAGTCTAGAGTTACTCTACTTCACCAACGATGACGAGGAGCGATACAGTATACAGGCCCACCCCACCATCCTCCGAAATCTGACCGTACAGGCTGCCGACCCTCCCCTGGGGTATCCCATCTTCTCCTCCAAACCCATCACTATACCCACTGTGTGACAAAACAGAAGTTCACAGGGCCTGTATTATAACATCACTGTACCCTATGTGAATGTGACATTACAGTAATTCCTAGGGCCTGTAAGACATAAACATGCCCTATTTGTGTGTGATTTTACAGAAATTCCCCTGGACCTGTATTGCACATTGAAGAATTCCAAAGATGTCAAGTCAGCAGTGTTTGATCAAATTTGAACAAATTTTCTACGAAGCTGCTGAAGTAATTTTTCTAAGAGTAAAATACATTCCATCCTTGCTTCAGAAAATCTAGTCTTCTTTATTGCTACATGTTCTGCTCTGACACAGTGTCTTTTTTCTGATGATGTAATCTTAGTCTAAGAGGGGATTTTTTCAGTGAACTCCTTTTGTTATAGATCAAAAAGATTTGGAGAAATCTTTTTAATCCCTAAAACTATGTACACATTGTGGAGCATTAGTATCTGTGACCCTATACTTGAACATGTCATGCAAATTATATGTCATATCAATTACATGTAAATGCACTCATTGTATCATTGATATTTATATTGTTCATTAATTTATAGGTTGTGTTATATTATTGAAACTGTGAAAAAGCATTTGCTTTGTGATATATCTGTGATAAAATTATACTTTTACTCATTTTAATATCAGAAATCTCTATGTTTTTTTTATTTTGCCCAGTAATTTCAAATTGTTTCTGATCTACACTTATGTATGTTGATCCCAGGAATTTTCAATTGTTCATGTTGCATAAAGATCTTTTAGACAGTTGAATTACATGCAAGCACCTGTACATAGCCTCAAAATCATTCTCTTACTGTAAACATAAATTATTAAGCAATGTAATCTCTCTGGCACTCATCAGCTGAAAACAGCTTCCACTATATCAAGTACATTGCTAAATGTCTAGAGTATAGATTTATACATGTATTTAGCACATTTAGATATGCTCTAAATCTAATTTATTTTAAAATAAAAAGCAATGTCTTTCAAATATTGTACATGCTAAAGTAAGTTGAGTACATTTTCAGCATTTTATTCAGGTGTATAGAGGTATGTTATGAATATGAAGAAATTTTTCTGGCAGGAATTATCATTGATCATCTGTACATAGAATCATTGTTAACTTTGTAAAATGCTGTTTGCAATACCGTATATACTCACCTATAAGTATGCAATAAGTAACTTTTCATGCATATATTAAAAAAAATACTTTTATTCATTTACATCAGTTTTTAAATGATATCATTAACTCCCAAAAAACCGATGGTAGGCATATATACAATGTAATTAGTAACTTTTATATGATAAATCCAAATTTAAAATACAAAATATTTGTGACTAGCTATAAATGATATCCCGTATTTTTATGATACAAAAATTTAGCAAAATCAGAGAAAAAATTTTCAATATATTTTTTTTATTTAATATAAGATTATTTCACCAGACTGTACATGTGTTTTAAAATTTTAAGAAAGTATTGTTCATATATTTATGGAAGAGTGTACATGTATTTTTAACAAAAAAAATCTATTGTTAAATTAAAAAACATTATTTAAAATTTTGAACTTGATACAAAATATTCTGTAATTAAGTTAAACATCAGGTATTTGAAAATACCAAACAAACACATGAAATCCTGGAGGGGAAAAATGGATGGTTAAGTTTCGGGACCAAAGTGGTTTTTAAGTCCACCAGTAATTTTCATAAAAAAAGAGTGTTGTTGTGGCATATTGATCATCCATATGAAAACTGAAATTGTTTTTGTAGAAAAACCCTGTTTTGTTAATTTAAAAAAAAAATCCATGTACATGTGTATGAATTATTATTTTATTTTGTGTTTCACTGCACATTAGATTTTACAATATTCACAATTTATGTAGTAGCCCCTGGTGTTAGGAAACATGGTTATGATACAATATAATTATATAAATATATACAGTATAAATGCAATGTTAGCACACCCTATTTATATGATTTGATGCTTTTATTATTTCCGTCCACATCTGAATACTGAGATTTATTTTTAAACTTTGTTTTACGTTATTATGATTTTTATAAACAGTATTTTGATTTTTATGACTCCATTTCTATTTTTATACTCTAAAAGTTGTGGCCAAAAAGAAATGGTAAGACCTTATTTTTTTTAAAACAAAGGAAAGGTAACTTAATGTGTTATTTGTGAAATTTTACATCAATAATAATGTTTAGATATGTGAAAAAATTTGTACATGTAATGGTTCTATTTGGCTCACTACAACTTTCCACTACAAAGTAATCTTATTGTCAATCACACAAAACAGGTGAGGGGTGAATGCACAGCTCTTAAAAACTGAAATATTTTCCATATAATTCTTACATGTGTGTGTGAAATGATCTTTTTTGTGACATGATATGAGTTGTCTATTTTTATATCTGATGTAACTTGACAAAGTGCTGTAATTTGTGTGCTGTCTCTAGTCTTGTCCAAATAAAAATCTGAACTGATCGAGTTACATCTCTTATTGAGTTCTTCTGGCAGCTAAAGCTCAAGTAAGGTTATCTGATTAAAGTTTATGTCTGTCCATTATTGTTTCAAATCTTGAGAACCAGTGAACCAGTTCTACAAGTCATCTTTTGGTGATGGGAACTTTTATAGTAATATACTTTTTTCCAATTTTTTGCCCAGAACACATACAAAGGCACAACAAAAGAAGAGAGTGAAATTTCTAAATGACAGTGGACAATTAACTGAAATTTCGTCATTCAAAAGAAAGTGGAGGGGAGTGGTTAGAAAATATGTTTAGCTCTTTGCATCATCTTTTCAAGAATCAATTTGTCTGGACAGACATGGAAAAAAATAACACAGAGGTTGAAAGCCGAGCTTTATTATCAACAGTAAACTGCTTTCCCTAAAATAAAGAAATGTGGAACCGTTACCGCTACACAAGATTGTATCTTAATCATAGAGATCATTGCATAATTATAACATAATTTCCAGTAACATATATTCTAGATAAAGCCATGGTTCATGATTCATTATTTGATTATAAATTAACAAATGAGGAAATAACAGAATTTATATCATGTTAACATACTAGCTTTAAATTCATTTAAGCAAACAAAAGTACATGTCATATTTTTTCCCAATAAAAATGAAAAATTCTCCGTAAAAATAAAATTAAATAAATATAGGCATGTATACCTAGTGTTACAAATCAAAATAAAATTAGAGATAGTTAAGAAATTTTTAGTTGTCTGGGGCTGGGTTGATACATTTTCTTCACATTTGCCTTAGGTTGGGTTTATGATTATGGTCTTAATATAACCATTATTATACAGAATTAATATTTTGACAAACATATTTTGTCCAGCCTGGCTGGGCATATATAGATATACCAGATATATCTGTTAATTCATTCACAAAAACTTGTGTACATTTTAGACTCATATACTAGTATTCAAAAATACGTTAGATCTCAAAATCATCTATTTAATGTATAATTACTATAAATAATTGCAAATCAAAAATTTATCACATAAAATCACATTATAACAACTAACAAAGATTAAATTTAAAAACTAAATATAAACTACATAAACATAAATGAATGGAAGCTTATAGAATTACTGAAGCAGCTTGGTTGTAGCAAGATTGCATAACTAAGTAAAACATAATATACCAAATTTATGAACTTTAACTTAGGGGCACGTTTCCATAGTAAAACCTTTAGGCATTATGGAAAATGTAAGAACTTTCCTGTTAATTAAAGTAATTTATTATTAAATCATGATAACAGAATTTGAGAAGGAAATTCTTGCATGCATTTAAAAACAACTTACATTTAAATTTTGTAAAATTCCATGCAGGTAGAAAAAAAATTAGGGGGAAAAATCCAAAAAAATTAATAGGCAGAAAAGCCTTTAATTCTTCTTTTCTATTCCACACTAAATAAAAAGACTGGGAGAACCAGATATTTTGATGTACTGTACTATTGACATTACTTGAGATAAGTTAAAGCCATTATTGGACTCCTTGTCTTGGGGATAAAACATCTGTGGAAGACTGGTGGGTAGTTAAGAGATGTGGAGTTATAATCCAGGTCCCTGATATGGCATCATCCATTGACACACCTCAGACAATTTGTATGAAGGTGACAAAATCGGCTGAGGTTTGCTGAATTATGGACTTTTATGTGAAGGGGCACAGGAGAGCTCCTCAAAAAAAGATAACAACTGTCCTGTTTTTGGTCTGAATTTCCCCTTCTAAAAACAAAGAGTCAAATTTGATGTAGAATTTGGCACACATTGTAGGTGTTGGGGGCGGTGTTTTGTTTGTTTGTCATGGTAAACAAAGTTCATAAACATAATTAAAACTATCACATTACTTAAAGCACTCGAGAGAATTCAACAGTCCCCACACTATATCCATGCAATAAAAATGCACAAGAATGCAAAACAAACTTTACCACTGACATTATTTCATTAAAATGAATAATAGTATATAATTTATTCTCGGGCAAGTAGAAATTGGCAAAAAAATCATTTGAAAAAAAATCCATGCAATGCCAAAATAAGTTTCCAAATTCAATTTTATACAATCTAGATATTTTTTGTGAATATTATTACTTGCTGTAATATAATTACTGCATGTATAGTCTGAAATGATTGATGCATTACAAAAATTTTCAGATGTATTATATACACTGTATATGATAAATACATGTAGGTCATTAGGACCAATAAATTCTCTCAGAAACAAAGAACTTACCAAGTACAGTGTACTTGTAATCAGACAAAAAATATCCATACATTGACTATTTGCACTAGAGAAAATCTCTTAATTAAGAGTAAAATTATGTGATAACTTACTTTAAACAATTATTTAAAGCATGCATAATAAAATTAATGAAGGTCAATGAATGCTAAAAATAGCTCTACAAGATCAGATGCTAATATAACCCAGTACACATTTGCAGAAAAAATGGAATTCAATGACTTTTATATACTAATGGTTTGATCTCTTAATAGATCAGATAAAGGTTTGATGATGATGATAAAGCTGTATGTCTAAAGTAATAAACCTATCACAAAAACATTCAATATGGTGCCATGCATGGTCAATATTAGTGTCAGCATGCATGCATTACAACATTTTACAACCTTTAGCAATTTAACTGGAATGATAATTCTTTATAACACATTTTCATCACACAAAAGATGACTTTAAGTCAAACCACATTCAACCTAAAACAAATCTTAAAATTGTCATAAATTATCTTAAGTACACCAAAAAAAAATCAAAATATGTAAACTTTAACAATTCAAAATCACAAAGACAATCACTCTAACTTAACAATCTTCTTATTACAAACGAAGGTGTAAAATAAATAAAACCATAAAATAATGGTTTTCTTTTACAATCTTTGATTGTCAGCTGAGGTGAAGAGATGGATGACTAGAGTTATTCCCCTTTTTTGACAGAACCAAGGAGTTAATGCCTTTTGATTGGAGAGAGTTATCCCCCTTTGCTGATGGCAAAGCTCCACTTTTGTGATGTTGACCCCGGCTGACAAGCGTTTACAATCAGTCCCTTCATCTGCACCTCCTGACTATCTATACACAGGTCATAATTATGACTTTTTAACATTGTATCACTGTTAATTCTCTCCCAGATCTGAAAAAATTCAAACAACCATACAAAGAAGTTCATTTTTATATACCATGTAAATGGAAATTTTATTTTGAAATTATAGCTTTACCATAGCAATTTCACTTATCAATTTAAAAAAATGCAAAAAATAAGTTACCTCAAAACATATACATGTAAATCATTTGGGATAATTTGAAAATATTTTTCAGCATTGAATGCAATATCCCAAAAACAAGAATATCAATTACTGGGGTAATCTTAGAAATGATGAAATATAGCAATTTCTGTGAACATCTTCATTCTTACATAACACTACTGATCACAGAATACAGTAACTGACAAAAATATCAATAATTAATTTATCTACTTAGTAATTAGATCAGTCAATTTTACCTGTAAAGTGTTGCCCTCCTGACATTGAAACAGTTTGACAACAGTCCCTGGCATACTGCCAGTCAAGGTCACACAAAGGTCAAGGTGGCGTATAAAGCCCTCCTTTGTCAGGGAAAACTCCTACAAAATAAAACATGTAAGTTACACTTAAATTCTAAAAAAAAATCTTACAAATTATTTCTTTAAAAAAAGGTTATATGTAGGAAGCTGGTCATCAATTTACATGTTGTATATACAAGTAATGATAAAAAATATTTTATAGTATCCACAGCATACATTCATTTTACATCTGACATAAACTAATAAATAGACCTATAGTTTAATTATTTCATAACAACTTAATATATTTTATCAAACTGAAGGTTGATTAAAAGAAAAGACCCTGCAGAAAAAAAAATTCACAGGGCCTGGCTTCATGTGTCATCTGAATATCTTGAGAATTCTAGACATTAGAAATGTTTCAGAGTATGCTACTTGGCCATCATTTCAACATTTCTCAACATTCAATATTTCTTCTAATTCCAACCTTGCTTTATGTAAATACAAATGAAATTTTGGAACTTTTCCTTACATTTGAAAAGATTCATCACTGAAAACAATTTGGAACTAATTGCTACAAAGAAGATAGGTTTAAAATTTCATTACATGGACCACGAAATTGATCATGTTTGTTTCTCTTCACCTATACCACATATATACATATAATGACATGGGATGCAATTGCCGAAGATATCTTAAGGTTTACATAAAGACAGAAACAGATTGCAATAGGGCCTCAAGTTGATTCAGGTGATTTAAAACTGGAATATAAATTTATAATTCATCATCACAAGTATAGTTATATAGTTACATGTACAGAATTGCAAAGTAAGTTGCTCTGGAGCATTTTACAGCAAGAAACTAGCAGGCCCAAGGTAACACAAGGAAATTAGCAGAGAGGACAGAGATGCGAGTTGCTTCATGAATACAAATCCTATGAAAAATCTGCTCAGTGACAGCCATGAATTGTCAATTGACATACATGTATGATGATTATGTACTTTTGTTAATCAATGTCAAAGTTTTTTTGTGGCTTTACTCTACCAGCTACAAAGGAGACACGATTTAACAAAAGCTGAAACCAAACAACACAGGGAAAACTGAATATTATTTTAACTGACTAAGCCTTTCTGGCAAAATGAGAGTTAAACAGCTGTTCTTGATAGAAGGGTTTTTAAAAATTTACAAATATGAAACAGTGATAATCTAAGAAAAATTACAAACAATACAAATATATGAATCAGCTAGGACATAAAACACGACCCTGGGAATTCAACATATGGGATCGGGTGCCTAGGAGGAGGAAGCATCCCCTGTTGACTTGTCACACCCATCATTATCATGTGTCTTGTGTGATTAGAAAATTTTGAAATGGTAATGTAGAAGAACAATGTAATTCTTTTCAGTTAAACTCAGAAGTCTCCAAAGTGTAATTAATAAAGGCTTTCAAGAAATCGTTTTCATTGTCTATATCAAGTCTTATTGAAATTCAATTAAAACTGCAAGAGGAGTATTGAAAAGTGTTTGGAAGAGATTTCAAAGAAATTTCTATCTTTAGTAACCATGTGATCAGCATTTTTAAATTGTAGAAGAACAATGTAATTCTTTTCAGCATCTCAGCGAATTGAACTAGCAGCAGTTAATCAAAAGCCACAACAAACCAATGTGTAATTAATAAAGGCTTTCAAGAAAAGCAGCCTGAGCATTACCTGATTTTCATTGACCTATACAAAATATATTAATGGCAGAGCTGTTAAAATCGGAAATCATTTAAAGCTAAAATTGATAATAATTAACAAATACATATATAATTTTTGGGGGCTATTTTTAAAAAGACCTTGCATGTGAAATGCAATTTCATTGTTTTACAAGAAACCAAAGGGCCTAAACGGTCACCTAAATATAATACAACACTGTAAAGGATCTATAGATCAAAATATCTATAAAACAAAGTAAACCAATAGATAAAGCTATTTTGCCCCAAAAGCAAGAAAAATAGGGTAAGCAAAATAATAAACGATTCCTGTGCACTGTAACAAATCTTAGTTAATAAAGCAGATCCATTTTTTGCCCTCATTTGTCACAATCACCTTAATTTACTTAACTCATTCATGATAATGGTGATATATGCTCAAATTGGTTGAAAATAGCTTGGTTCAAAAGAAAAGGCTAAAAATTTTGAAGGATTTCACAGGACAAAATAAAACTACAGACAAAATCAAATAGCAATGGGTCATTCAAGTGATGCAGGTGACTTAAAAATGGGGTACCCTGACAAAAATCACAATGTTGTTAATTTACCTGATTTCCACCCGCAAAGTGACAAGGAAATATTCCCAGGTTCCCATCAGCAAAATTGCCCAGTGTGTCCATACAGTTGTTGTCTTGTTGAATGCTGCCAAAGGCCTGATCCTGGTGGCCAGGCACCCTAAAATATCAATATTAATATTCCACTAATATTAGTGTTAACAATTATATTAAGACTATGTGAAATCAGTACATGTATTAACAACTATTTCTTGGTTGTGTAGAGAATATTATGTTTAAATGCAGGGAAATCCAAACTCAGTTCAACATCAAATCATGATGCCACAGAAAAAAAAATAGCTTTTAGGGTCAGAAATGAGATGGGACACATCAACTGACATGAATTGAGTTGCAAGGTTTGTTATTTTGATTAAATAAAGCGCCAGAGCAGTAATGGCCAAAAACGTGTTGCATTCCTGTTGCTTCACTTCCAAAGCTCACAGGTTATGTTTACATTGGTTTATTGATAAAACTGCCGACTCCAGTGATCCACCACACATAAGACTTAACATTAATATTATTACTGTATTAAACTTAAATCAAAATTAAAACTTTTTATGGTCTTGGTTCTATACATTTTTAGAGCCATTTTAGTGGTATACTCACTTGAGTTCTGGGTAAACATTTTCTAGGAACCATTTGAAGGGTTTACAACTTAATTTTTTCCTGAGCTCAACTCGCTCTGAGATACTGCAAAATATAAAACAAAAACTTAACCCACTTCAAGACACTTAAACCAATGCAGTGAAACTTTACAGAAACAAACTAGATACCCATGGGCCACAGCAGTCAATGGGGCTGCATATAGCAATTTTTCACTGAGTGACATTCCCTAAATTATTTGCCTTACATATTACATGTTTAATTGCATATCTGTATGTTTTCATTTTGAATCTTTTTGTAGGGTGATTTATTCATCCGCTTCTTCTTGACATAATTATGTGGGGAATGACTTCCCAAATAAATAAGGATGCATTCAAAGAAATCAAATTAATGACAACATTCAGTAAATACATAGAAATTTTTTTCCACATGACATGGAGAGGACAAACTTACTCTCCGAAGTTGACCATTTTAGCGGAGGGAACAGCAGCATAATAGAACTCCTTATAATTGTCCATCCACACCTCGGCAGCTCTCCTAGTGTTCCTACAAAGGTCAGAGGTCAACCAAATGTTCAAGTGCACTGAACAGTTCGTGGAAATGATATTAAAAATTATATGTCTCAATTTTATATTGAAACAAAAGCAAAGCTAGGGTCTGTATATTGTGTCTAAGTTTATTAAATACGCAATTCTATCGTTACCGTGCAAAAACATTTCCGCTCCCCCCAGGGAATGTGTAGGGGTGTTGTTTCCTGAAGACATGACCCACTCGACTACAAGGGATGATTTCTAGAGATCCGTGACACTGCCAAACTCTGAATGAGATTTCTGTAAAAAAACAAATCAAATATTGGATTTCCAAAGCTGTGGGATGAGTGTTTCAGCCTGAGCATCATTCATTTGTTGAAATACACAACTGTTAGTATATAAGATACTGTACGTGTACATGATTTAGTGTATTCAAAATTTAGCGCAATGAATGAATATGAGTTGTTGGCATAACCATGAATTAGCGCTACACATGTTCGTGCTGTATATTCTATTTATAAATGAATTCTTGGCGGTATTCATGAATTAGTGCATCTTTGTCTACGCAAAAGACGCTAAAATATGAAGCCCGCTATCTTAAGTACACATACAGTATATAAATAATCACTGACACCTATCACATCATTCAATCAAGATATTTCTATAGGATTTTTTTCTTTTTGTTATGGTTTGATCTTACATGATTATAATTAAACAAGTATTCCTTGAGCATATCCTAATCACAAGCTCCTATAAAATACCTACCTAGATTTTCACCACCCCAGACATCCATATTCTTGTCATACTTTCCAAGCTCCTCAAACCACTTTTTCTCTATACTGAACAAACCACCAGCTATCATGGGAGTCCTGCAAGAAAATCACAGAGGAAAATGTTTGTTATAAAATTACAGAGGGAAATGAGTTTGACAGAAATTTACAGAGGAAAAAAATTGTCATAAATTAATTATTTCAGGTAGTTTTGTAATTAAAGTTATATATATATATATATATATATATATATATATATATATATAAAAGCACTAAAAAAACCAACAACACTGTATATCCTAAATGTCGGATCTATCAAGTAGATACAAGGTCACGGATGGAAATTTATAAATTTATAAAATTATATTTCTTAAAAATTTCCAAATCAATATGTAACTAAGTATGTAAATATATAGTGTTTAGTAGTTTAGTAGTAGTGCTAGTTGTTTTTGTTTCGCTTTTTCCTTTGTTCTTATGACTTTTTAACTCTTTTCTTTGTCCTGAGGAAGGGACAGGGCGTTTTGACAATTTTTATTGTTCGTTATATATATATATATATATATATATATATATATATATATATATATATATATATATATATATATATATATATATATATATCATGTATATATATGTGAAAAAAATTCTTATTTCAGAGGGAAATTTTGAACTTGTTTCACACTCAACAGACATTTTATTTTTTGCAAGATCAATAAAAAGTAAAGTTTACAAACAAGTCACTACAAAAACTGCTATTTTTAAGATTTATTTAATATTAACTTGTATCAATATCTCCCAGATTCTGTGAATTATAAAATCAAAGAAAGACAACTCTTGCCAGGGATTTAAAAATCCTGAAACTATGCATGGTCACATGACAAACAGGTAAATAAATAGACAGGTAAACCAGAAAGTTATAAATAGCGTCCAGACCGTAAACTTACACAGGGAGATCAGTTTTAAAAAGCAGGTATATTTTAATCATTGTTTGGAAAAAAATATCTTCTAAGCCTGTAAGAGGAAAAGTTGAATACATCTTTAATTGATTATTCTAAAAATTTTAAATTGATCCTCCTTGTGAAATGTGTCTTTAAAGGAGGTCAAATTTTAATTCTGTTACTGTATCAATATACTAAACCAAAAGTAGTACAAACTAGACTCAAATTGAATGTCACCAGGCAGCTGATAGCATGTGAACAACCTGAATCGGTATCAAAACAAGTATAAATTAAGGTATTCATTTTGAGGTTAGGTGATCAGAAAATGTAATATTCTGCTGCATGTTCAAACCTGTGGCCCAGGATAGAGGTACTAACCACACCATTATTTAACAAAATACTCAGGTTAGCTTTACTCTAAAATGAAAAGGTGTACTTTCTAATTTCCTCTTAGAAGTGAATGAAATTCTTGACAAATAGAAATTGCTTTAAAAACACTTCACATGTAGTTGATAAAGTTGGTGGATTTGTAAATTTCAGGTAAAGCCCAGCAATGGACCCCCATACCAGTGCCCAGAATGTGATGCGATGTGACCTGTGTGAGACTGCTGTGGTACAAATGCACTGTGATACATGTCTTGTCAACCTGTGTAAGGCCTGTGTGGGAGTACACATGGTATCTGATGAATCCAAAAAACATGAAATTGTTAGATTTCAGTTCAGAAAATCCACCCTGATCTACCCTGTCTGTAAATTTCACCAGAAAGAACGATGTGAAATGTACTGTAATCAATGTGACATTCAAGTATGTAGTACCTGCAATGCATCTAGAAACCATTCAGGTCATAATATTCTTCAAATGACAAATGTTTACAATGCTAGAAAAGAAGAAATTGAGAAAGAAATAGAAGAGCTAGAACAGAATATTTTTCCCACCTACCAAAACATTGCCTCTGATGTACAAAACAGAATGAGTCAGTTAGAAAAGGAATATGGAGATCTCTCAACAGCCATAACAAAACACGGAGAGGACTGGCACAGAGAAATTGACAAACTTGTCAAGAAACTTAAAGCTGAAGTTGATGAGATGAAAACTAAACACTATGATGCTTTGAAGACCCACAAAGATGAAATAAATCAGAAAATAACTGATATTTCTGATGAAATTCAAGCATCTTCTAAACTACTGGAATTAAATGACATCTCCCTTTTTCTTGAGTTCAATACAAACATACAAGAATTCACGAATCTTCCAGCTAAAGTCTATAAAACTTTACCGCATTTTACTCCAATTCAATATCAGCCAGAACAACTGATGGAACTCTTTGGGACCCTGTCAAGTCTCTCTCTGAACTCAGATGAGCATGGCTACAAAATGAAGAAATCACCAGAAGCTGGATCCTCTCCTCCAGTCAAACAGCTGCTTGATGAACCAGAGACTGTCACCACTATAGACACTGGGTATGTATACCTTTACAATGTGGCCTGTCTGAGTGATGAAGAAATCTGGACAAGTGGAGATGACAACACCATGGAACTTTACAGCATCAATCAGGGATCAGTACTCAAGTCAATCACAACCAAGTCAGGTGAAATACCATATGACATAACAGTGACAAAAAGTGGAGATCTAGTTTATACCGATTATTATGATAGAACTGTGAACATTGTGAAGAATGAGAAGATAGAGGAATTGATCAGACTACAGAACTGGAATTCTCGCGGTGTCTGTAGTACCTCCTCTGGTGACCTCCTGGTTATCATGGACAGTGATGATAAAAAACAAACAAAAGTTGTCCGTTACTCTGGCTCCACAGAGAAACAAACCATTCAGTTTGATGATAAAGGTAAACCTCTCTATTCATCTGGTGTTTATGACAGATACATAACTGAGAACAGGAACCTGGATATCTGTGTGTCTGACAGTGGAGCTAAAGCAGTAGTGGTGGTCAATCAGGCCGGGAAACTGAGATTCAGATACACTGGACATACTCCTGCTCCAGAGAACAAACCATTCAATCCACGAGGAATCACAACAGACAGTCAGAGTCACATCCTTACAGCTGATGATAAAAATGAGTGTGTCCACATCATAGACCAGGATGGACAGTTCCTCCATTACATAGACTGTGGACTGAAAAATCCTGAAGGACTGTGTACAGATACAAATGACAATCTGTTTGTTGCTCAGTATGGAAACATACAAATGATGAAAATCAAATATCTGCAGTGAAATCCAACACTGTAATGATGTAAGTTAGTGGAGGGCGGATAAAATTACGTTTCTTAATTATTCAATGCATATTTCCATATCAGTGTTAGGTAGAGACAATTTTTAACAAATACCTTTTTATCCCGGTACTTGTTTTATTGTAGGAATAAAACTGGTATTAAAGCATGACCTCATTCAGTTATCAATTATTATTACTAATACATGACAAATTATATTTATACATGTGTTGCTGTTCTGGGGTTTTCTCCCTTGAGCAACTTGTGGGTCTCATAATTCTGCATATTGGACAAAAGAACTATGAGTCAGGATTTAAATGTATAGATATTTAATATTGTTTGCTGTATTTTTTTTTAATTTGTGCATTCTGCTTGAATAATCATATCTATTTCTTGCTCCCATATAAATATTATTTCTCTCCCAATTAGAATTGGAATAAAATATTCTTTATAACAAGAGGCCCATGGGCCTTATAGGTCACCTGAGTATCATGTAACAACTTTCCAACAATTGAATTTGATTCGTATTTAAACAAGAGGCCATGAAATTCAAAATTTTGAAAGAAGCACCATTCCATATCATAACTATACACTTGTTTACTTCAGCTACTTAATACCCAGAGGCAGATCAGAGTAATAACAAAGAGAAATGCATTTCCACTTTATCAGTTGTGCACCCCATCCCACTGACCCTGGGGCCACATCTTTCAAAATTTTGAAAATTTTATAAATTTTATTTCATCATGTTGTTGATTAATACCAAAGTGCAGATTTCAAAGCATTAAATTATTTTCAGACTATGTACACCTGCCCCCTGCAAGTACCAAGTACCTCTGTCCCAGGGGCCCGGAAATTAACCATTTTGGAAGAAGTCATAAACATGTAATAAGATCATACGCATAATACCCAGGAGCAAAGGAAAAGATTTTCAAAGAATTCATGCATTTTCACTATATAAACATCAGAGCCTCACCCTAACACAAGAAGGCCTGACCCTGGGGCCCTGAAATTCACAAATCTCAAAGATGCATCATTGCTCTTCATAACTATGTACAAAGTGCATTTGTTTAATACCCAGGTGCAGAAAAGATTTTTAAAGAATTTATGCATTTTCACTAAATAATCAATAGAGCCACACCTTAACACAAGACCCCCCAACCCAGGGGCCATGAATTTCACAATTTTGGAAGAGGCACTCTTATTCAACATAACTGTGTACTTGTTTAGTTTATTTAATACCCAATCTTCGCTAGCCAAGGGTTTCTGATACGCTACTCTCCTCATAATTCCTTGGCATACAGTGTTGATAGAACTCGGGCGTTTTTTTCATGAGTTCTGATACACCCGTGGTCGACCAATCAGCAATTGTTTTTTGTAAATGGCGATATTTGCGTTCGGGATACTTCTTGACTCTTTAATCTCGGAAATGAAAAACGCAAGTAAACAATGATCCATAAGATAACGTGCAATTCTACGAATAGCTCTGGTGTCATCCAATATCTTCCAAATATATCTATATTGAAGCTTCAGATTTGTACTATAAATAATAAATAAACATAACTCAATTATTGCTTCTTAATTATTCTTGAAAAAACTTTGATGTAATCTTTTTTAAACATGCGTCTTTATTTCTGTTGATGACGCAATCTGTGCATACCTGATAAATTCGAGATCATGTGCTGAAAACAATCCCATCTTTTGACTTCACCGTATGCCAAGGATTCATGAGGAGAGTAGCGTATCAGAAACCCTTGGCTAGCGAAGATGTTAATACCCAGGAGCAGAGAAGAAGATTTTCAAAGAAATAATTCATTTTCACTATATAATCTATAGATATAGCACCGCCCTAGCACTAGAACCCCTGACCCTGGTGCCATGAAATTCACAATGTTGGAAGAGGCAGCCTTATTCAATATAACTATGCACTTGGTTAGTTTATTTATTGCCTACAAACAGAGAAGAAGAATTTCAAGAAATTTATGCATTTTCACTATATATAATCTATATAGCCCTGTCCTGCCACTAGAACCCCTGACCCTAGGGCCATGAGATTCACAATTTTGTAAAAGGCAGCCTTATTCGACATAACTATGACTTGATTACCGTATAAATAGAAATTTTAGCGAGGATTTTCTTTTGGCATTAATAGCAAAGCTGTTAATTGAGATCGCTAAATTTGAATATCGCTAAAAATATATTGCGTGTTATTTGTAATAGTTTCTAAAGTGAGCTTTTAAAAATTGCTAAAATTATTTCTCGCTAAAATAAAATACCAGTTTTTAAGAAGAAATCGTTAAATTTGCGACTCACTAAAATTTCCACTTATACGGTAATTTATTTAATGCCCCTGAACAGAGAAGAAGAATTTCAAATTATTTATGCATTTCCACTGTATAATCTATATAGCCCCACTCTAGCACTAGAACCCCTGACCCTGGGACCATGAAATTCACAATGTTGGAAGAGGCAGTCATTTTCAATTCAACTCGGCACTTGGTTAGTTTATTTAATGCCCAGGAGCAGAAAAGAAGAATAATGCATTTTCACTATATATATATTTATTCAGCACCACCCTAGTACTAAAACCCCTGACCCTAGGGCCACGAATTTCACAATTTTGGTAGAGGACTCAATGCTGAATACAATCATATCAACAATTTGACTGCTTGTTGTCAAGGAGTAAAGAAGATTTTTAAAGATTGAACTAATTTTAGTGGTTTTGGCCCCACCCCCCAGGCTCCAGGGGGACAGGGACCATGAAATTCACAATTTTTGTTCTCTTCACCCATAAATGCTATATGCCAAATTTGGTTGAAATTGGTTCAGTGGTTTCAGAGAAGAAGCTGAAAATGTTCAAATGTTAATGCACGACGAACGACGCATGACGACGGACGAAAACAGATAGCAATAGGTCACCTGAGTTTACTCAGGTGACCTAAAAATAGAGAATTATGTTTTAGGGATTATATATAAATTATCTTTCCCGAAATATTGGGAGTTCTTTGCAAAACGATTATATTAGAGTCAGATAATAGATACATGTATGGGAGAATTATTTCACCTCCCACTAATTTTCTCCCATAGACCAATTCAATAACTCTGTCCAAAGTTACTCGATCATACCAAAAACAAAGCTTATCCTAGATATTCTTATGATGAATCTGTTTAGCAAATATTTCAGAATATGCAACCTCTGAATGGAAACAAAAAATCTCTAGATTAAATCAGATGTAAAAACATACCTCTATCCAAAATTGCTAGATCATTCCCAAAAAAAGAATTTGACCTAGATACGCAAAAATTGGTGCTTTAATGGACAAAATGCAATTTAGGCTAACTTTGGAGGTTAAAAAGTGAAAAATTCTTGACAGGGACGTTAAACATACAATCACAAACACACCTGACAGGCTGAATTCACAAACACACACGATTGGCTGAATTAACAATACCTGATTGGTTGAATTGGATTTCCTGCTCGTTTGTTTCTTTCCTCTGGAGTCATGTAATCCCACTTAAAAACCAGATTCCAATCAAATCCTACAATATCGAAACTCAACAATTTTATATCAACAAGTTTTAAAAGTTAGACTTTATTCAATAATGGGTAATAGCATTAAAATGTAAGTGATAAGCAACATTTTTTTCTACTATGCAAGTAAGTTTATCAATATATAAAGGTCTTTTATCTAGAAATGTTATATTAATGCATATAATTCTCCTTAATGTAAATCATGGTAATTTTGTAATACTTACCTCCCTTGAGATCAGCGGAGGCTCCGATGTACTCAAAGTTGTCCATGTTTATCACATCTATGATGGGACTCACAACTCGAGATCTGTCCTGGAATAATCACAAGTGAACATGTGAAGTCAAAACTGAATTCAAAATACCGTATAAGTGGAAATTTTAGCGAGACGCAAATTTAGCGATTTGTCCTTAAAAACTGGTAATTTATTTTTAGCGAGATGTTATTTTAGCGATTTAAGAATTCTCACTAAAGAAAATAAAAGGCAATTAATTTTTAGCGATATTCAATTTTAATTCCTCGCTAAAATTTCTACTTATACGGTACTAAATGAATTACAAGTAAATGTTCATCAGTTCCTAATAATGTACTCATATGGAAAACATTGGTTGGTTTTGATTTCGCTTCATTTGCGATTAAAGAATTTTCTGTTAACATAAAGCCATTGTGAATGACATGCATTTATTTATTTATTTACACTTTATAATACATTTTTTTGTACTTGGTAATAGTAAAATATTGATTCAGTGAAATGCATAAAATAACACTAAGTCATTGACAAGGGCAATTTAAAGATACTGGTAGTGGTTTTTTTTTCCCTAATAACTTTCTTTGTTGAACTTCTCAAAAATTAATTCATACAAATGCTAATATTCAGTTATGAGAAGTTCCTTTGGCCTCAGGGTGTATGGAATAAAACCCAGGGTGCATCTCTGTACACCCTTGGTTGAACCTTGATAATAAGACTAGCCATCTTGGA